CAGGGTTGGCAGATCGAACTGCTGAGGGCACTGAGGAGAGATGGGCACCATGTGATGAGGTGTACACTGCTCTTCCCCAGAGGGGCCTGCCCTCCGAGGTCCAGAGCCATAGCATCAGGACCCTCATAGCTGAAGTCTTCTCTAAAAATGACGGTCCTCAGACCCGCGTCATCTGCAAGGAAACCTCGACTGATAGAACCAGAGCCTGCTCAGGGCAGGACCCAAGGAGGCATGCTTGGCAGGGGCTCCCACACCGCCAGGTGACATACTAAAGGATTCAGTCTCACGAGACTGGCCTCTGGTGCACTTAGAGCGGCTAGCTCGGTGCCCTGAAGCGGCGAACCGGCAGGGGACGGCCGTACTAGCTGCTCTAGAGACCTCCGTGGAGCGCTCTTAGCACCGTTACGTTTCTGGGCGGTGACTGAGAGAAGCGTTCGCATGAGACCGCTGTGCCCTGGAACACCAGCAGGGTTGGAAGACCGATCTCCTGAGGGCACTGAGGAGAGACGGGCACCGCGTAATGCGGTGTACACAGTTTTTCCCCAGAGCTGGCCCTCAGAAGTCCTACAGGCCTTAGGCGTCAGGACGTTGTAGACGGAGACTATCCAGCGAGAATGACGGTCCACAGAACCGCCTTCCGCTAGAAGCGCCACTCTGACTCTAGACTCTGCGGAGTACGATAAGTGTACAAGAAGGGGTTCCCCAGAATGAGGAGCTGGAACATGGTAGGTTGGGACTGCTCCCGCCAAGCAGCCCCTGCTGACCGCCTCAACCTCCTCCTCAGAAGAGAGGTAAACCCGTGCTCTTACTCGAGAGGTTTTTATCCCAAGAGCCCCTGTATATCTAACTTCTCATAGTCAGATAAATACTTCATTTTATTCCTCAGAATTAAATGCAATCAAACAACCAGACGAGTAAACACGGTCTGGTGTGATAAGATTCGCATCAAAAATCGAAAATGATATATCTAGCTTCTCATAGTCAGATAAATACCTCATTTACCGTTATAAATAATCAAAAGCTTAGTTATTAAAAATACTTAATGCAACATTTTTATCTAACGATTTTAGCATTTTAATGAGCTCAAAACTGTTTTTGTTAAAAACGTATTAAGATGTGGAACGGCCGTATCTCTTTGCGACCACAGCTTTTCAGACGTGCACTTCAGCTTGCCCTCAGCACCAGGCGCGAGTCAAACAAGTGCGGAAAGGGTAGACTACAGGTGCCAAATGAGCTTCAGTAGAAAAACGGGGAACTGAGGTCTGATGAGATGTTATGTCAGTAAAACAAACTTTCCTGTCCTGTCAGCCATTTTACTGTGCTCACGGCACACGCTCTTCATCTGTACGCGAATGTAAGGCACACGCTCACTTCATAAATAAACTGCGAGCATACATCGTCAGTTAAGTCATGAAATTACCAAAATGGTGATTAAAGCTGCAAAACTGTGCCTGCAGGTATGTGCAATGCATTTAAGAACGTCTCTCAAGTGCATGCAGCCTTCTGAAATATTCTGCAATTTGAGATCACAATAGGGCGCAAGATGATAGGCTATGGATTTTTTTATTTATAATTTAATGCACAAGTAGGCCAAATTTGAGCACAGTGCAATTAAATGTACTAGAAAATATGCGCAAATTTTTCGTTAATTTGTAAAGTACGAAAATTAAAATAAAATAAAACCATATTTAAATGCATAAAAGAACTAATTTTACATTCATTATTTTTTCTTTTTGTTCAGAGCTCGATTTAGGTACACTCTTAAAAAATAAGGGTGCTTCACGATGCCATAGAAGAACCTTTTTGTCTAAATGGTTCCATAAAGAACCTTTAACATCTGAAGAACCTTTCTGTTTCACAAAAGGTTCTTTGGGGCGTAAAAAGGTTCTTCAGATTATAAAAAGGTAAGAAAGAGATGGTTCTTTAAAGAACCTTTGACTGAATAGTTCTTTGTGGAACCAGAAATGGATCTTCTATGGCATCGCTTGAAGAACCATTTGAAGCACCTTTATTTTTAAGAGTGTATGACAAAAGTGCTGCAATTAATTAATTTTCACAACTAATAGAATGTTAAACATTGATAACTTTTTCAGAGTTCATTAATTATATAAAATTCAGTGAAGGTTGACTATAGTTATCTGCATGTCTCATCCATGAATGGGGCTATGCAAAGATGGAAAACAAGATTTTGGGCAGTGTTAATTGCTCAGTTTAAATGTATTGTATGAATTGCTTTTACTATGGAATAAAAAATAAGGGGCGTCTATTTACATTTAGTTAAAAGTGACTGTAAATCATCAGCTCCAGTGGTGCAGATGGATAAGCGTGTGTCCTTGGCTTTTTGACGCGATCGACCCGGGTTCGGTCCCACCTTTTGCCGAACTTTTTTACCCTCCCTTTTCAAATTCCTCCTGGGTTTCGGCACCAATGTAACGTAGTTTGTAGATCGGGAAGAAGGAGGCGGGAACCAGAGAACGCCCTAGACCTCCAGGACCCTCCACCAGACCCATGGGCTTGGCTAGACCTGCGAAGCAATGTGGGGAAAAAGGGGTTTGACTTCGGTTAACATGACAAAGGTCAGGATATCCCGCAAGTACGGTAAAGCGAAACTGGGTTCATTACTGCAGGAGAGCGATAATTGGGTGTTGGACACCAAGACACCACATTCACTTTTTGTCACCTCTTTCATACAGACCTCCCGGGGGGAAAGGTGGAAAGCAAGTGAACTGTGTTTAAAGGGTTGTCAGTATGGAGTAAGACTTCTTTGCCTTTGGAAATACACCTAAATTGTCTCATCTATTCTCTGGCTCTATGCTAATAGGAATGGGATTGATGTAAGGGTTGTTTGCGGTGTAGTTTGACACCCAAAGAATATTAGAAAAAAATAATAAATCCATTATATCAGATAGTGATTGCCAGACGGTTGCTCTTAATTAGAATCATTAGTCTTTCTGTTGAATATTTGTGAACTGCTGAAGTTTTTGGTTGGAATAAATGAAAAGCCAGGAATTAAATCTTTGCCGTGCTCTTTAAAAGGGATAAAACAAGTGTAACGGAGCTATTAAAGATGCCGTTTGATTTTGACATTTAAAAGAGCAAAATGATGTTTCACTGAATTATTAACAGCTACATAAAAATTATATCACGTTTCAGATATGTGTATGATCCAAGGATGTTCATTTTAAAGCCTTGAATTACAGAAGCATTTATCCCATGCTTCTAAAATGGTTATGTAGAAATATCTTGTAGCTGATTATATTTTACTTTCTCTTTCTATGAACTGTGCAACTGCACTTCAGAATATCAACCTGCATTAAAAAAATATTTAATAATAGTTCATATGTCCCATGTTAATTATCATAATTTTGAGATAACAATACATGACAATCTAGTAAGAGCTGTCCAAGTCCTCAGACTTGAAATTATGTGTTTCTATGGCACCATTAACACCTAAGTAGCACCTAAATGAATCTGCGCTGGTCAAATAGTACAGCAGTCATGTGGTCTAAGTCATCTCTTTCAGAACATTCACAGCTTACAAGTTGTAATTACATAGTCTATGGGCACGTGAACACTTTAGCATTGATAGTGTTGCCATAGAAATGCATAATTAAGAATCTGAGGACTTGGACAGCTCCGAGTAGAATATCACGTGCTGTCATCTCGAAATTATGGTAATTATGACATGGCGTGAATGCAGCTTAAACTCTGGAGCACAGTGGCACATTAGAGACAGGTTTGGACACTCCTGATCTAGACCATCTGAACACCACTTTATCCATCTAAACCATTTTAAACCAACTAAGAGACCAAAAAAAACATCTTAAGCTGGTTTAAGCAGGGATGGCCTCTTCAATCTTAAAAATAAAGGTTCCTTATTGGCATAGATGGTTCCATGAAGAACCTTTAACATCCATGCACTCTTAGAAATAAAGGTTCTTTATTGGCATTAATGGTTCAATGGACAACCTTTAACATCCATGGAACCATTACATGCACAAAAACTTCTTTAGTAAGTAGAAAAAGGTTCTTTAGATTATTTAAATGTTCTTCAAAATAAGAAAATAAAAATGTTTCTTTTAATGTCTGCTTCCTGAGCAACCAAAAAATGGTTCTTGTATGGCATCACTATGAAACCCTCCTTTTGGAAACGTATTTTTTAAGACTATGGAGCGTTTTTATTACACAAAAGGCACTTCATAGTGGAAAAGGGTTTTTATGTTATTTGCTATTTTTATAACATTCTTCACACTAAGAAAAAATTGTTCTTTTTAGCACTGTTCACTGAAAGGTTCTTTGGGGAACCATAAATGGTTCTTCTATGGCTTGCTACAAATCCCCCCTTTTGGAAACGTTATTTTTAGATTGTATGAGAGTAGATTTAGAGTTCCTCTTTAGGAACTCGAGCTGCGTCGGAAAAACGCTTTGGGAACGCCTTCTGTGACCATGCTTTGAATCGCATGTGAAATCCGTCCAATAGCTGGGCGAGACGCCACGGGTGGGTGACGTCATGGCCAGGAAGCTATAAAAGCATGTGCGGCGGAGCCGGCGTCAGCGTTTTGTCATTCAGCAAGAGCTCTGTGTGTGTCAGTCTGATATCTGTTTGTGAGTCTTATTTAGTGTTGTCTGTCACGAAACCCCAAGACAAAACCAAACACCTAAGGGGCGAGCAGGTTGTGTGTTCCTCCCTGCCCGCATTATTTTACGGGTGGGGATACACACAGTTTGTTTGTTGTCTGCTTGGGAGCGAAGCACAGTTGTTGTTGCCTTGCTTTGCTCTCAGAGGGCTCTCTTTGAGGAGGGAGCCTTCACTAGCGTTCCTCGCGGTGCCGGCCCTGCTTTCACCGAGGCGAAGCGGCGGCTGTGCTCGTGGGTTTCGCATATGGACCACCAGATCCGGCGCCCGCTCTCGGGGTTTCGGGAGCCCGCGCTGCGGTCCTTCCCACCGGGGAGAGGGCACGACGCTCCGTCTGTCTTTCTCCGAGGAGATTGATACGGAGGGCGTCAAAGAGCTCGCCAGTTGCACAAGCATCAGTTACACAAGCATATTATGCCTGATATTATAATGAGCAGCATTAATAGGGAGCGGAGCTCGCGCCGTCGGAAGGCGGAGGGCGGATTGTGCTTTTACCGCTGTTAAGCGCTCCGATCCGCCAGTCCTGCTGCTGCTGAGGCATGGCGGCGACTGAGATCGCGGGGATCGCACATGATCTGGCAGACAGGTTGGAGACGGCTCTTCATATCTCCACCCGTGTTCCCTAGATCTAGAGCTCGTTCTCGAGACTTGGAAGCCCGCGTTGAAACACAGCGGTGGTCTCTTATATCAACCACCAGAGAGGTCTGCGTTCGTGCCCCTTGTATAAGCTGGCGCACCAGATCCTTGTGTGGTCCCAGGGCAAACTCCTCTCGCTGAGAGCAGTTCACATTCCTGGGCATCTCAATATGGGAGCAGACATCCTGTTGAGGCAGGGGCCGAGGCCCAGGGAATGGATGCTTCACCCCGAGGTGGTGAAGCAGATATGGAGAGTGTTTGGCCAGGCTCAGGTGGACCTGTTGCGACTGATATGACAACGCACTGTCCCCCTCTGGTTCTCTCTGACTCATCCAGCTCCACTGGGGCTGGATGCCATGGTACAGACGTGGCCGAGGCTTCATCTGTACACCTTTCCTCCAATTGTTCTGCTCACGGGAGTTCTGGAGAGAGTGCGCTGGGATGGGGCCCATCTGTTGTTTGTAGCCCCGTTCTGGCCGAGCCGAGTATGGTTCTCGGGCCTGATTTCTCTCCTCGACGGCGATCCATGGTAGATTCCCGTCAGGAGAGATCTCCTCTCACAGGCGGAGGGCACGCGCCCACTCGGAGCTATGAAAGCTGTGGGTGTGGCCTCTAAGGAGGCACAACTCATAACTTCCGGTCTCTCAACCGAGGTTGTTGAGACCATCCTCCATCCAGAGCTCCCTTTATGAGGAAACTGTACTTCTACGGAGACCGCCAGCCCGACCCAGCTAACTGCCCATTTGGTACAGTTCTGGAGTTCCTGCAGGCCTGTTTATCCGTAGGGTTGACCCACTCCAGGCTAGGCAGGGATTTGCAAGTTTGGCGGCGTGGGCATTCTCGTTCCCAAAGCGTTTTCCGACGCAGCTCGAGTTCCTGAAGAGGAACGTATCAGGTTACATATGTAACCATGGTTCCTTGAGGGAACGAGACGCTGCGTCTCGGTGCCATACTTCCGGCATCCCTGCCAGCACTTGCTTCATTCCTAGAAGCTGACGCTGGCTCCACCGCACGTGCTTTTATAGCTTCCTGGCCATGACGTCACCCGCCCGTGACATCTCGCCCAGCTATTGGACTGATTTCACATGTGATTCAGAGCGTGGTCACAGAAGGCATTCCCAAAACGTTTTCCGATGCAGCGTTTCGTTCCCTCAAGGAACCATGGTTACATACGTAACCTGAGACGTTTTTCAAACTCCAAATTAACTAGCTGGCTGACTTCCTCAGATTATTTTTGTGTATGTTTTCTTCCATCTTAAAAAAGAAATCTACAGCTCTCTTGCCATTATTTCAACCTCCAAATGAAAAGAGCTTGATAGAGACTGGTGATTTGGAAGCTTCTAGTTTACAAATCTTTGCTCATACGATAAACGTGAAGTATAGAAACTAATCTGCAGTTACTTTTAAACCATTAGCATTGTTCGGTATTTTCCACTCTACATGACAAGTGACATAAATACATCAATTTATAAAATGCCGGTCACTAAAAAGAGCAACAAACAAGAAACACCATGTTACAGAATTGCACACAATCACAGATCTGACAGTGTCCTCTTGGGTTTACAGATTAGTAAAACACCTCTTAAAAATATCAAAATGTCTGCATCAAAATGCAATTGCATCAAAAATGTCTGTTAGCTGATAGCTGCATGCTATTATGCATGCTATAAAAGTAATAAAAAATCAAATCAAATATTATTACACATTTATATTATACATCACCTTGGATGATTTCATTTAACCCTTTCCCATGGTCCTATATGACTTTCCTATTTATATGTAACTTTAGATTAATTCAACATGGCTTAAGGAAATTCTTATATAACCAGGGACGGACAAGTTACTCAAAATACAAAATTTTAAAGGGGTCATGAACTGTCTTTTTTATTTTGTACTGTACTCTGATGACCACTTATAATATTATCAAGATTTTAAACACAATTTAGAAGTAATAGGCTATTTTCTGTCCTGTTTTGACACCTGTCATCGGAACGCTCCGTTTAAATAGTCGTGGTGGACTGTAGACGTGAAAGTAAACGCCCACTGTTATGATTGGCAGTTGTGTATGTTTGACAGCCTACATCCTCCACAGATGGACACTGCTGTGATTTAGGTTAAAAATGCATAAATACTCAGTACATATCAAACAATCTGTAATAACAGACAAAACAGTGACCATATAATAAAAACAGTTACTCACACTTGTGTGATGCAACATTACTGTCAGATACAATATATTCGGCACAGCATCA